CAAAACCACAAAAACAGAGGCAACATTACTTTATTGCACCCAAGGCACAAGACACAGGCATTTGCATTCCCTTTGAAATGGTTAGTTAAGACTAGGGAAGGACAAGGATCTGATAACAGTTTCAGACAGAGCTTGTATGCAAACAGCATTTTATTGATGTCATTCACTTCCAGCTCAGACAACTCCCCCCTCCCCAGTCTTCCCAATTACCCTGTAGGGAATGCCACTTTTTTTCTTGCCAGGGTCTCAAGAGGTGCAATTTTTCATGTCACAAAGTAGCAGCAGCATGACTGTCTGAGAAAAAAAGCAGCACCTGTTGAATGCAGCTTTTAAAGGCACAAGAGGCCCTGCCAAGAAATGATAGGGCAATCTTATCCCTGGTAAAGTGAAATGTAAATCAAGAAAGCAAACACCATAATAAATCTAGTAAGTCTTTAGGGAGCTACAAGGAACTTTTGTGTGTCTGCTGTGTGCCATTGGCTGACATAAACTCAGAACAAAAAAACCCAAACATTTGGTTTGATGAAGCCCACTCAAAAAACACGAATAGTCTTTAATTTGTGTGGTTTAGAAACCTAACTGGTGATCATTTCCTTGATTCAAATTGTGTGTGATCTTGTATTTGGAATGCAATTAGAAGTCTTTGCTCATTTACTTAGCAGTAAATCCTGCTGATTTCAATGGAGCTTCAAAGTAAGTAGAAACAGAATTACAGTGTGATGGAAAACACCTGTGAAAGCATGAAAAACACTAGAGCAGGAGAAATTGTGTCTGGATTAATTGGTGATGGAGAGAGTTGTCAGCATGCTTATACATGAATTATTCTGGTGCTTCTGAAGAAGGAAGAAAAGAACTCCCAGTCCCAGCAGTGGCAGTGAGCTGGATAAGTTTCCTGAAGCAAGAACCTCTAGGCATAGGCCTTGTTAAAAGAGCAGATCTAGATGTCAGGGTGAAGGTCTGCCTGCCTTCTCCCTAATTTGTAGGAATCTCATGTGTTTGTGTAGTAAACTACCATGTGAATAAAATTTGAAATAGTACAGTTCAGACAAAGGCCTACCACCACTGCTCTTTGTGAGAAGTGGGGTGAAGGTGGGGTGACGGAATGGCTCTACAATGTGAAATGTTCTCTGAGGCACTTGACTGTGAATTGAGTAATATCTGTAGTAAATGCACACTTTTCCTTTTCTTGTGTCAGGGGAACTTCTCTGGGTCATCCAGTGAGGCCACAACCCCTCCTCATCCAAGGCTCTCCTACAAATTCCTTTCCTCTTTTTGTTGCTAACTTTATCATAAGATCTGAGCTGTTCCATCTTGTTTTTCTCAGCCAACAAAACATGCTAACATATTCTTTTAACCAGTTTAAACCGGTTCAAGACTTAGTACATTTAGTATTCGCCTAAAGTGTTTTACTTCAGTACCGTCTCTGGTTTATGAAGAATGAGTTAGAATATTTGTATACTCTCCTGCCCCCCAGTAATTCACTTATTCTGATGTTGATCCCAAGGATACATGGTGTAAAGTACGTACAATTATATTATTTATTATCAAACTGGTGTAGGAGTGTGCTCTTTTTTAAACTCTCACAGCACTTTTAAACAGATGGGTTTCATTTATCTGGTTAAGAGTTTTGAGAAGCTCAAAGGTGCATATGCACTCACACCAACCTATGTAGGTCCAATGAAGAGTAAAAGAACATATCCTTTGCATTTCATTTGTCTCATGATAGGTCCTTTTGTACAGTAATGCATAGGTTCCATGATCTCGGGAGTCTCCCTGAATCTGAAGGTGATAGACAGACCACCGTGAAACATCTCAGCCTGTGAAATGGGAATGATTACCATCTACTTCCTTCTTACCATGTTCTCCAGCAAAAGAGGTAAAGAAACTGCTGTACTCATGTACACAGCATAGATGGATAGAGTGATAATTCTGTTACTTGGATTGATGAATCCCAGACTTGTATGTTTTTTCTCAGAAATTGGTTGTTGAGCAAATATTAACAAATATCCTTAGGGTGCGCAGTGGAACAGACATCCAAGTACAATATGAGTGTGAACACTATAGACCTTAGCCTCAGTTAAAGCCACTGAGAAGGTAAAGCATAGGATAAACACACAAGGCAGGCCAAAACATGTTGTAAGGTCATCAGCAAACACCCTTTTGCTGTTGTACAAAGGCCTGGTGCTGTGCAAGTATGCTAGCACCGTCATTACAGCTGCTTCGCTGCAGGGTGAGCAAGACAAATCCGAGTGTGTTCCTGCCACAGCCATTGGTGGGCAATCTTGACTGGAGATCAACATGGGACTTTGAGCTTGTTGGCCTTGCCGGACCTCTCAGCAGCTTTTGGTACTCTTGACCCCTAAATCTTTGTGCAATCCTTTGGTAGATTGGAAAGTTCAGGGACTGATTTCCACTGCAGTTCTACTCCTTCCTATCTGGGTATATTTGGATGTAGCCCTCCAGGCTTTTCTGTCTGGCCCCCAGGACTTTTCACAAGCCACACCCATTCCCCAGGCTATACAGATTAACAGCCCTCCCCTGTGACCTTCTCAAGCATTTTTGCCTGGCTGAAATGCATCTTTGAACTGTGATAGCACCTCTGGCTTATCTGGTGTGTGGTGGTGGTGGGTATTATTATTATTATAATTATTATTAGTAGTAGTAATAGTAGTAGTATACTGTCCTATATCTGTAGGTCTCAGGGCGGTTACAACATAAAACCACAATTTTATATGTGTGTACAGTGGTACCTTGGTTCTCAAATGCCTTGGTACTCAAACAACATGGAACCCAAACACTGCAAATCTGGAAGTATGCGTTTCGGTTTGCCAACATTTTTCGGAAGCCAAACATTCTCCATTTTGAGTGCTACACTTCCATTTTAAGTGTTACACTTCCAATTTGAGTGCCACACTTCCATTTTGAGTTTTATGCTTCTGATTTGAGTGCCACACTTCTGTTTTGAGTGTTACACTGAGGTCTGTCTGTTTTTGCTATTTATTTTGTGTGTTTGTTTCTGCAGCTTTTTTGTGTGACTGTGTGGAACCCAGTTCAGCTACTGATTGATTGATTGTGTGACTGCAGTACATTATTTATTGCTTTCATGTTATGGATCAATAGTCTCGTTAGACAGTAAAATTCATGTTAAATTGCTGTTTTAGGGGTTGTTTTTAAAAGTCTGGAACAGATTAATCCATTTTGCATTACTCTCTATAGGAAAGCACACCTTGGTTTTGGAATGCTTTGGTTTTGGAACAGACTTCCGGAACGGATTAAGTTTGAGAACCAAGGTACCACTGTATGTGGAAACTTCTGCCTTTTACACCTGTTGCTCCTCCCACTTTTGTTCTGGCCATGCCCACCACTGAAATGCTGACCTTTGAAGGTTGCCCATTAGCTAAAGTGACCCTTGGACTGAAAAAGGTATCTCACCCCTGATTTAAAGAGTGGCTTCTGCTTAACCCCCTTGGATTTTTATTATAAAGAGTCCTGCAAGGGTCTATATGATTGACATTAATAGATAGTCCAACATTTGGGAAGTGCCATCAGTGGCATACAGCTTTTCTTTCTCAGCCAATTCAGGTGCAACATTGGTTCTTCTGAGTTCCTGTTGAGAGGCAGACTTGGGGTTCATTGAAATTGAACCCGCACACCATTGCTGTGGTTGGGCAGCTTTGGTGACCTTGGGGAGGTCAGAATATCGACACGATAGCATTCCTCTTGTGTTAGATTTCACAGTTTTGCTGTCTTCCTGAACCCAGCCCTGCTCTTCAAGGCTGCCAATATTCATGCATTGTCTACTGTATGGTGTTCTATGTGGGCCTCACCTTGGAGACAGTTTGGAAGCTTCAGTAAGTGCAGACCTCAGATGCCAGTCAGATCATGATAGGGATGGAATCAATCATGATAGGGGCTGGGTGGAAAGTTTGTATGATACCCATTTTGGCTAATCTGTACTGACTTCTGGTCTCAGTGCAAGGTACTAGGCCTTGTACCCTTGTGGCCATTGGGTATGCTTACTGGGGCTGATAGGAGCTGTATTTAAGCAACACATGGAGGGCCAAAGATTCCCCACACCTGCTTTAGGAAATGTCTTCTAAGCCAGGGTAGTCAACCATTTTCTCATGAAGGCCTTATTATTATTTATTTATTAAAATTAAATTACTATACTGCCCTTCATCTGAAGGTCACAGGGTGGTACACAAAATACATAATAGAAACAAAAACGAACGTTTTCACCTGGCACCTAAAGATATGTAATGAAGGCACCAGGCAAGCCTCCCTGGGGAGAGCATTCCACAAGTGGGGAGCCACTGCAGGAAAGGCCCGTTACTGGACCTCTCATGAGTAATCTCCAGGGGTCATCTGTTAGGGGCCGCATGCTGACTGTGGGCCCAGCTGAAGCCAATCATGGGTGTGTGGGTGACATCACACCTTCTTCTCTTTTTGTCTCCCACTCTGTCTTCCTTGCTGCCCAGCTGGCTGCTGGCCAAGGGACAACTTGCTGTTGCCAGAGGCCTGAACTGATAACTTGCATAAAGCTTTTGAAATCGGGGACACATGGGGGCCCTCTGGCTGCAGGTTGCCAACCTCAGACCTAAGAGATACTAAGCATCAACTCGAAGCCGTTAGTGGAGGAGTGAGGAAAAGAGACAGACTAATAGTTCTTCTCCTAATAGGAAGACACCAGGATTTATATCCGCCTGTAAAACACACTCCTGACGGTAAACCTACTTGCTGATCAAACCTGCATAAGAACAAATAGGTGCTCAGGGACAAGGTACTCTGCACATGCTCAGCTGGCTCAGATTAAGCTCTGGCAGGGAGGAACTGTGGGGGAAACAAGCTCTCTCTTTTGTTGTTGTTTGGAAGCCCCCCTCCCCTCCCCAATATTATTTCTCTTGAATTTTGGGATCCGGGAAGTGCAGCTGTTCTTACCATCATCACAAGGATCTCTCTCTCTCTCTCTCTCTCTCTCTCTCTCTCTCTCTCATCCTCAGCGGGAAAGGAAGGCACCTGGGGGTCGATGCCTCGCGGCGATTGGCTGAGGGGCGGGGGAGCCGCGGCACGAGATTGGCTGCTCGGGAAGAGGCCGGGCGGGGCGCGGCGGGGCTAGTGCGGCAGCCAGTGCGGAGAGGGGAGCTGCTGAGCGCCGGTTGACCCGAGTCCTCGTACGTCCTGGCGCGCTTCACTGCGGCTCCTCGAGGTTTCTCCGCAAGCTCCGACTCAGGGCGCCGGCGCAGCTGCTGCGTCCCGCCCCAGCCCATGGCCGGTGCGCCGGGCGCGCCTGGGCAGCAGCTGTAAGCGCTCGGGCGGCGGAGCCAAGGCGCCAAGCAGCCGCTCGCTCGCAGCAGCAGCAGCAGCAGCATCCAAGATGGGGACGGTGCTGTCGCTGTCGCCCAGCGCGCCGGGGAAGGGCGGCGGCGTCCTGGCCGAGAAGGCGGCCCCGGGCCGGGCGCACGGCAAGGGCGAGAGCCGCCTGAAGCGGCCAGGCGTGCTGATCTCGGCGCTCACCTGGAAGCGCCTGGTGGCCGCCTCGGCCAAGAAGAAGAAGAACGCCAAGAAGGTGACGCCCAAGCCCGGCTCCGCGGGCGCGCCCGACCCCTTGGTGCAGCAGCGCAACCGCGAGAACGCGCGCAAGTCCCAGCCCGACGGCGCCAAGCAGGGGCCCTTGGCCGTGCCGGTGCCCACCGTGCCCGCCTCCGCCCAGGAGGGCGGCAAGCAGCCGCCGCCACCGCCTCCCCCGCCGCTGCCCGGCAACCGCGCCGCCTCCGCCGCCCCCGGCTCCCCGCGGCGGGTGATCGTGCAGGCTTCGACGGGCGAGCTGCTCCGCTGCCTGGGGGACTTCGTGTGCCGCCGCTGCTACCGCCTCAAGGAGCTGAGTCCCGGCGAGGTCATCGGCTGGTTCCGCAGCGTGGACCGCTCGCTGCTGCTGCAGGGCTGGCAGGACCAGGGCTTCATCACGCCGGCCAACCTGGTCTTCGTGTACCTGCTGTGCCGCGAGGCGCTGCAGGGCGACCAGGTGGGCAGCCAGGCCGAGCTGCAGGCCTCCTTTCTCACTTGCCTCTACCTGGCCTACTCCTACATGGGCAACGAGATCTCCTACCCGCTCAAGCCCTTTCTGGTGGAGGGCGACAAGGAGCGCTTTTGGGACCGCTGCCTCGCCATCATCCAGGGCCTGAGCGCCAAGATGCTGCAGATCAACGCCGACCCTCACTTCTTCACGCAGGTCTTCCAGGACCTCAAGAACGAGAGCGAGGGTGCGCCGACAAAGGACTCCGGCTCCAACAAACACTGGACTATAAGCCTGGACCGCTAGGAGAGCCCCGACCACCCCCCACCCGACCCCCGCCATCTCCTCCCTCCACCTTTCCGGGCGCACTGCTCTTCGTTCTCTCTCTCTTCTCCCCTCCCAAGCTCTTCTCAGCCAGGATTTCACAGGGGCAGGAAAACTCTGGGGAGTTTTGGGATTGGGGAGTTGCTAGGGACATGTCCTTTCCCCACCCCATAGTACAGGGTGGAGTGCTGCTCTCCATGAGCCAGTCAGGCTTTTTTGGGGTGGGTGGGTGGGTGAGGACTTGCTGGAGTCCAGTCTTTCCACCCTCCATCTTGTGGGCCACACCCAAAATTACATCAGCCCCTTCCCACAACTGCAGCACCTGAATATTGGGGGATGGGGATGGTGTCTGACCCATGATGTACTGTTGCCTTCTGGCTAGGAGGAGAACTTGCCCCTTCTCTATTACCTTGTCCCAGCTGGGTGCACTTCAGGCCCTGTGGGTGCATCCCGGGAGGGAGGGGCTGTTCTTCCCCTCCTCCTCCTTCCAAATGGGGAGAATTCCTAGACTAATGGGTCAACCTTAGGCATTACGTATTGACAAAGTTCTGCCTTTTGCAGGAAAAAGCAGCTGCTGTGACCTCACCTGTGGAAGCCCCACCAGTGTATCCATGGTTTTGGATCTCTTTGCTGCTACTGTGAATCACAGTACAGCTCAGAGCATTCTATCTTGTATTTTACTTTTACTTTTCCAGTGAAGCAATTCCTGCATGTTTTTTGCCCTTTCCTGCTGTTTGATGGCTCTGCCATAGTGGTTGTTCTACAAAGTAGATGATGGTTATATACTACTGCTGTCCACCTCTGCAAAGTCAAATGCCTTTCATCATTTCTTTCCCTCCTTCATCGCAGTGGTGGGAATGGGGATGGGGGAGAGTGAGGTGTGTGTATCTGCTTCCAACACTGAAAGGAAGTGCTGGGGAAGCTGTGCTGCTATCCTTCAATGGCCCTTATTTGACCCATTCTCTCCCTGCCGCCTCCTTTCCCCCACCCAGTCCCCTCCCATCTGAAGCAGAGGCTAGGAGCTGTCCAGGGTGCTAGCCTCTTAGACCGACATACATTTGCACATTCTCGAAGCTGAAAACAAGCTGTCTCATGGTGTTTGAATGTAACAGAACAATGTTTGACTTACAGGATGTCTGTGCCAATGTTGCTCAAATGTACAATAACATATTGTTTTATATTGTATATTTAAAAGAGATAAAAATAATGAGTCAAAGCGGAGCTTTGGAATCCTTTGATCATTCAGAACCGCAGATGTATGGGAAGAGGAATGCAGAATGCACTGGGACTGGCAAAGAAGGGAGGAGGGAAGAAAAGGATGGCAATTTGTGTTGGGGGAGGTTTACGGTCAGCATCAATGGTGCATTAGCCCTTGGCTGATGATTTCCTAAATGGCTGTGTTGGCAGGAGATCCCAGACTTGCTAATGGGAATTGATATCGAACTGCAGTTCATCTTATTCCGGAGCCCTTTTAGATGAGGACACACACAGTTTTCTTGAGATCTGGCTGGGCAAATATTAGTCAAGAACTAATTTTAAAATGAAACACGCATAGTCTCCAATTAAAATGTCTGCAAATGTACAGAAAGACAAAGAAGGAAATTGCTTGCCATTAGTCTTGTTTGCTTAAGTATGCAGAATTTAAAAATAAATAATCTATGGCTGATATCTTCCAAACAGACAAGATCAGAGTAGGAATTGATTGGATGCCTAACATTCTTTTGAGAGAGAGAGAGAGAGAGAGAGAGAGAGCTCTTAAAAGCAATCCTGAATGTCCCCTGCTGACCAAACAAGACAGCCTGGCTGTCATGTATCAAAGTGCAGCTAACAAAAAAAGCTGCATATATTAAGAGCACATTGTTGGCTTATTGTGTGCTTCTTCCAGACAGGAAGTCTGTTTGCAGACTGACAGTCCTAATGCTCAGTCCTCTGAAGAATGCTGATGGGCCACAACCTATGCTGTGCTTTGCAATCCCTTAATTACATTAGGATAGGAGACAAGTATGGTTTTGGATGCAGTCTTGTTCCTTCCATCTCCTCACCACCACTATTTAGTATTTTAAAAAACCATTTTCTTCCCTGCTTGCATTTATACAGCCATGATGATGCTGTTTGTAGCTTCTCCATCTTAATACAGATTTTATTTTTAATTTCATAATGGATTTTTTAAATTGAGCTGTCCAAGGTACTGAATTCTGTGGGCTATTCCTGTTGCCTCAATCTGCCCCTCAACCACCCTGGATTGTTTTTGGGTTTTTTAAAGAACTGGGTTGAGGGTGTTTAAAAGAACTAACAATGCCACTTCAGTTATTAAGACACCCTTGCAGCTGTCTGAAACATGTTGATAAACAGAAACTTGGAGAGGGAATTTTTTTGTTAGAAGATAGTTTGGACATGTGACTAAATAAAACTGGAGATTCTTATTGCAATGATCAAGTCAGTGGCAGCTTTAAGTATTAACTGCCATACAACTCCCTTGTGTAATTTGGCCTGTGCCTTAACCTTACTAGTGAAATGGGCTAGGAATTGAGATAATGATTTTGAACTTGAAATAGAACAGATTAAATGGATTTTTATTCCAGAATTGCAACATGCAACTAGATAAGCTGAGCCAATCAATTTTCTATGATATTGGACTGTGTGTGTGATGAATTCACAATGGAGGGCTGCGGTATTACCACCTTCTCTGACAGGAGAGCTATGACTAGTCCATGTTAAAGCTTCATTCCTTTATTTTGTTGTGTCAAGTCAACTAGACCTTCATAACTATGGAATATTAATTCAGACTTAGAAGGTGGTTTTCTACTGAGTGATACAATATCTGACATCTGAGTTTTGCTTTTCTGGCACAGAATAATTCAAACATTTATTGGATATATTATGGCAGTCATGTGCCAAAAGCATTTTTTGACTGACTGCAGCAGCTGTGGGGAACTTTTTGCCCACCATGTGTGGCTGAACCACAACTCCCATCAACTCTGGCCATTGGCATTATTGTATTCACATTGTGAAATGGTGGTGGCTTTTTTTGTGTTACTTTTTATTTATTTATCTTACTTTATTTTTTCTTTTCCCTTTTTTGTTAAATGGGCAAATAAAAATTTAATTAAAAAAACTGGCTGATGGGAGTTGTAGTTCATCTGGAGTGTCAAAGGTTCCCCACCACACCTGGTCTATGAGAGAGGTAACCAATCCGGTGCCTTCCAACTTTTGTAGAATCTTAGCCTGAGCCAGCATGATCAAGGATGGTTTTCGTGATTATGCAGAATTAACACTTACTATGATAATAATGCACTTCATAATTGACTCCAGTTTTCTGTATGTTAGAATTGGCTCTGTCAGGCTGTGTTTCAATCACTACAGATTGAATTGTAAGGTATGCCTGCTTCATTATTCCTTCTTTTTAAAAACTGTCAAGATAAAGGAGCCAGGTCCAGCATAATGTTCAGAGGGCCATAGTTCAGATCTTGTGCATTAGCAAATTGACTCCACCACTAACTGCACCTATGGCTTCCACAATTTTACAGGCCTTTATGCTACTCATACATAGTTTTCTATTATTCTGACTATGAGAGCTAGCATGTACTAGTGCAGCCTTCCCCAGCCTGGTGCCCTCCAGATGTTTTTGACAATAACTCCTTTCAGCATCAGCTGTGCTGGCAGGGGCTGGTGAGAGTTGTAGTCAAAAACATCTGGAGGGCACCAGGCTGGGGAAGGCTGCATTAGTACTGCTGATGGCTGGTTTCATGAGTTGATTAGAATTTCAGTGGAGACTAAAGTTTTGTCTCAAGCACACCTATGTTTCTATAATTTGAATATTATGTCTTGACAATTCAAAAACATTGCTTCTGAGAGCATGGAGAAATGTGATTTAATAGCCTTCCATCGGCTTACATTTTCTCTTGACCTTTTGACAAGTGTGATTTGGGGGGGGGGGATTCCCCTTCAGCCTCAAATGCCCCAGACAGCTTTAAATCAGTGGAGAAGCACATAAAAGCTTATAGCTGAGGACAACCAACTAAATATTAGTTGATTATCCATCTTAATTGGTTTAAATTTGGATACATTTGCAAATAAGAACAGCAGTTCTGAAAGGGGGCAGCCTGGTTTTGTGTTTTATTATTTATGTTTTCATAGACAATTACCTCCTTTGTAAGCAAAAACAGAGGGTCCTTATCAAACGCCATCTGGTGTCTTTTGCTTTGCTGTTGTTGTTGTCTAAAGTATGCATCCTGATAGGGACGCTCCTTAAGTCAACAGACTTTATGTAGACAGATAGGCATCTAACAGTTTAAGGCTGCAGGCTGCAATCCTGTACTTTGAAGCTAGGTGCTACATACATAAGACTCCACTCAGATCATGTGTTTGGTTTAATTGCTGTCCAATGTGGGGTGGGGGTAGATGGGCAAGTATTTATATCCCCCCCCAGCCAACCAACCAACCAACCAAATGGCAGATGCCATTTTAAAAAAATAGATTTTTTTAATAGTGTAGCTGGAGAAAATTTATAATTTCATCACATTCTTAAAATAGCAAGGACTATTTGGGGCACCCTCAATACTGACATGTCACTCATGATACTGAGATAACTATACACATTCTTACTCATGATCCCTGACTCTAATTTTGTAAGCAAATGTCCCCTTCTTTCAGAAAAGTCAGTGCTTACAATTCATGATGCTTATAACTATCTTTCCCATGAAAGCTGTGTTCTGAAAACTGAATCCACCTCTGAAACTTTATATGTTGCTCCATGTATATAATCTGCTTGCTGTAGCTCATTATGCATGTATGTCAGAGAAGATTTCAGTTGAAGAGATCCACACAAACCATGTTTGCTTCCATCTTGGGCAGACCCTGTCCCGCTGGATGGGATCTCTTAGAATAGTGTGTGGACTACTCATAGGCTCTGCCCCCAAAGCACATACAACTCAGCACTACGCAAAGTTTTGACAGATTTGTAACGTTCATTCTATTTCCCCCCAATTTATATGCTTGCTTTCCAGTGGCTGGTGTCTATAACAGTAAATACCACAAGGGGGAAGAAAACGAGAGCCACAATTCATATAGTACTTATGGCCCAGAGACTGCCCCTCCAGGAGGGTTTAGCCATGCTAGACTCCCAAGTGTTACTGCTTACATCAGTAGGGTGGAGAGAAGGTCTGAGAGACCTTTTTTCAATCATTTAAATTAATTGCTATCTAGAATGGCAAAACTCTTGGGGATGGGCAGAAGTCTTTGCACTCTAAGTAATAGGGTTATTACTATGGATATATGAAAGACCTTTTACCAAGTCAGACTTCTGGTCCACTATTGTTTCTTCTGACTTGCATAGGGTCTCCGGCAACATAGTACCCAGATGTGTGGCCTGCATTGTAGAGTGTTTATGAGAAAAAATGTGGGTAGGCAGCAAGCAGATGGTTTAGGGCAGGCATCCCCAACTTTCAGCCCTCCAGATGTTTTGGACTACAATTCCCATCATCCCTGACCACTGGTTCTGTTAGCTAGGAATCATGGGAGTTGTAGGCCAAAACAGCTGGAGGGCCGCAGGTTGGGGATGCCTGGTTTAGGGCAAGCTTTTCCAGACTTGGGTATTCAGCTGTTTTTGGACTACAGTTCCCATCATTCCTGACCACTGGTCTTCCTTGCTAGGGATTATGGGAGTTGTAGTCCAACAACAGCTGGGGACCCAAGTTTGGAAAACCCCAGTTTAGGGACTAGAAAACTTACTTTAGAGTGAGGAGCAACCTGTGATGCTGCCTGAAAATGTTTGCTGTGAACCAGAAAATAGTGGGTCACAGATGTTCCACAATGCAGGACAAGGAGGACGTTTGGCACAGTCAATAGCAGTGTGGGAGAAATTGTGTGATGCGAACTTGTGTAATTCATAGTATCATACAACTCTGATGAAGTTCCACCTTCCCCTTGGAGCCTTCAGAGCCAAGCGAATCAAGGTGGGGTGCATTGTTTTGAAGTAGTTCAACTTAAGCATTCATGGCAGAGACACAATAAAATATCTGAAAGTAGTTAGATTTCCCTGTGCATCAGATAAATTGATAGGAAAAGCAGCTCAGGAACTGAAGGAATAGGCTGGGAATGGGGTGCAGGGAGGGAGGTTTGTTGTCCTGAGCTGTTGACTGCATTGGGTAGTGGCAGCTGAGCTTTGGCTGAAGCATCTTGGACCTGGACCAGTTCTACCTTGAGCATTGCACTTCCTGCTGCTGCCCAGCTATTACTTCATAGCCCAAAAATGTGTAAATAAGCAAATGCTCAGACACCGATGTATCCACTGCTGACCCTGGACTTTAAGGCACGGAGAATCTTAAATAGTGGAATTCAGGAAACTGCAGGAAAGCTTTTCTTGCTTTTTGTAGTATAATGTAGAATTGGAGGGCACCGCAAGGATCATCTAGTCCATCTCCCTGCAATGCAGGAATAATTATTTATTCAATTTACCTGCTCTAGGTTGAAGGAGCTTTCTACTGCTTACAGCAGGTTGGGAAAGAATAATAGAATTGCAAAAAGGGTGTGAAAGAATTGGGCAGGAGTCACAGCAGCTGCCTCAGATATTTATGAAAGGTATTGGTGTTATCTTCGAATAAGGGCCTGGCAACTTGGTCTCTGCTGCGGTCAAGAATATGGCATGACAAGGTCTACTTTATCTAAGAAGCCTAGTCCATGGGGCTGATTTCCATAATTTTTTTTTAAAAAGGAATTTGCTGAGTATTTCTCACGCACCTGACTATCCAACTTACACCTGAATAGTGATTGAAAGAGGAATTCTTTACTCACCTTTTGCCGGGCTGGGGGGCACACCTCTGTTCCACTGGCAGAATAGCAGCTGCATCCAATGTGCGCTCAACCCAGGAGGAGAGATGTGGGAAAGTGAAAAATGCTGTAATGGCAGCAGAGACCCCTGCTGCATCTCAGGGAATATTGGCCATGCACACCAACCAGGGCCCGCTTTCTATACCCTCTTCTGTTGTCCTGGATTTTACTGGCCAATATATCAGGGTGGGGGTAGCAGTTCGAAAGCACGTCAAAGTGCAAGTAGATAAATAGGTACCGCTCTGTCGGGAATGTAAACGGCGTTTCCGTGAGCTGCTCTGGTTCGCCAGAAGCGGCTTAGCCATGCTGGCCACATGACCTGGAAGCTGTACGCTGGATCCCTTGGCCAATAAAGCGAGATGAGTGCTGCAACCCCAGAGTTGGTCATGACTGGACCTAATGATCAGGGGTCCCTTTACCTTTACCTTTATCAGGGTGGGGGTGGCCCAGCATCAGGATCTGACTGTCAGGGCCCACAGGCTCTGGAGGGCCAACAAAGACATGTATTACATTGCCATATGCCCAGGAAGCAAAACATGGCAACAGCCACAGGTACCAAGGGAATAATTCTAGGGCACTGTCCACAAAACCAGTGGCAAACTGCTTGCAATGACCTTCCTGAAAGAAGATGCACCAGGGCAGGGGAAGAAAAGCCAACTGGACATCCATTGCCACAGCTGCAGGAAGTGATGTGTTGATGTGTGTACGGACAGGAAGAAGATACTTCATGAGGCCACTGGAGAACATTCACAGTCCCACACAGTGCCACACTCACTCTGGCTGCCCTGGGCTTGGTGAGACTCACTGAACAATACTACCAGAAAACATGTATCGTTGGGGAAGTTGCATTTCTGGTATCTCCATATTGTGGCATGTGTGAGAGAGGTGTGTGGTCCACATGATCCTCTACAACATGACCCTGAGTTGGAGGTTGGCCATCATGTCTGCAGTGTTGGGCCAGGATGCTCCTGGGATCACTCTGGTTGCTGAGGAGAGGCCAGCACCAAGGCCAAGATCCTGATGGTCTGCAGTGGCTGTCATCCCACCCACCCCAAATGCTTCTGGCCCCATGACACAGCATTATTGGACTGGCCTTAGAGTAAGGATGGAGCAGCTGGATGTTAGCTTGCTGCGCCAAGGTTACTGGGTGGGTTGGGGAGCCCATGGCATGCCAACCAGGTATGTGCATGCCTGGGGGTGAGCAGCAGAGGATGGAGATCCAGCCACTATGGTTCTGGGCATGCCAGGACAGTTGAGGACAGAGGTTGTCCCAGAGATGTGCCCATCATTCAGGCGGGCCTAAGAGAATCGGCTGTAGAGAAAATGGCAGCCTAGACATACCTGCTGCCCAACAATGTTCTGGACATTGACATGTTCCTTGGACCAGTGAGGCTTTCACCAAATCCTATAGCCCCCTAACTGGTGGACTTTCAGTATAGGATTGTGGCCTAGGAGCCTTCTTGTTTGGCATCAGCTGCATCACCAACCTGTTTTCTAAATATCCGTCTCTAAACTAGTGCTTTTCTACCAACAAGCAGGATTCAGAGTCCAAGGACAAACCTCTGTGCTATACCTCCACACCTCCAGGCTTACTAAACCCCTTTCAGATAGAGCAGTATGCAGATGGATATACAGAGATTAGCTATTAAAGGAGAACAAGAAGGGGGATGGTTTTTTAGTCCAAGAATGCCAGCTATTGAGTACTTTTAAGAGTCTTGCTTTTAATCAATAAATTAGTATGGGTTACCAATATGTATTCTCAGGACGTTTAATAAAGACAACAATTTATCTTTATTAACAAGCACCAAAAATAATATTTTGGAAATTGTGTTAAATTGTCTAAATCAATGTAAGTCCAGGACTTTGTTTCAGCCAAAACTCAGTTCCAGCACCTCTCAGGTGGGCGCCATTGCCATTCTAAGAGAATGGG